AATTGGGGTTTTAAAAAGTGTTAAAAAATGTCATTTTTCTTTAACATTGTGTTTTATAGAAATGTTCTAAAAATAGTGATTTTCAAGAAATATTAGGACTCGTTTCTCAAAAAGCATAACTGTAACACACAAAATAATGCTATTTCATTTTACCATGGGACAATAGCTTCATGACTGAACATAGATAATACACCAATAAACATTGTCATGCAATTTATGACCAATTTTGTCAAAAATTATGAGTAGGCTTCTAGCTTAATTTACAGTTTATCAAAAATGTTGATCAAGACTCGTAACCCACAGCAAATAATATCTATCTGGCCCCATCTGATAAGAAATAAAAATTAGAAAAATTTGCACCAACATGTGGGGCAGAAAAATGATGGCGCTCAAACAGTTAACCCAGCACCTCCAAATATTAATAATGTCCCGTTTGTTTTTTCTCAAAAAAAAATATAATCATAATTTATAAGTGTATATAAAATAACACATTACTTTGATTACAAGAAAAAAAATACTATTCAGTGGCTGAAGATTTGATGTTTTTTATCTAATCATACTTCTCCATGTCTTTCTGTGAACCCTCTTAAATTGTTGACCCCAATGTACTACTCACCTCAGGAGCTTTGCCTAGATGCTGTGATAGAACAACCATATTGATTAATGTTTCCGGATTGTTGCTATCCTACAAGGAAAGAGAAATGTACAAAGTCAATGACATTGTCCTCATACCTGTGTTTCTTGATATGTTAATTCAATTTCTAAATGAAATCACGTGCACCAGTAATCCACCATATGCATGATCTCCATACAAAGTTTGACCGATATCAGCCTACTAGTAGGCATGTCCAAAAATTTTTTTTTTTTAAACCAAAATGGAAAATTGGATTAGACCAAAAAGCTAAATGTTTGTTAGTTAAAGTTGGTTTGAATAGGTGATTTTTCGTTCAACTGTGAGATCTCGTGTCTATCGTAAAAATTAAACGATTTGATTTTGAACTTGAATTTATTCTTTTCATAGGTCAAAGTCGAAAGGCTGATTTGAAAAAGTGACAGTTTGATATTACAATATCAATGTTGTCTTCCCTTCACTTTCTTTCATGTGCAACATACAGGACAGGACAGGAATGAATAATGTCTGGTCTTATTTCAGAAGAAGAAGAAAGTGATTACAGGCCACCATGTTCTATATTTATGAAGGTTTATATCAACTTTAAACAACCATTGCAAAATGCTGTTACAGAATGGAAATATATTGATAGCAAAGAATTGATTTGATACTGCTATATACATGATGCAACATACTATATTAAACTTGTATGTACCGGTAAAAACTATAGCACTAAGCACCCTGAATTCATTGCAATGGAAACCTGCATAGTTATTTGAACATCACCTGTCACACAAAATAAAAACTATTTTTTTCATAAAAATGTTGAGCAAGTCGCGCAATTATGTTTATTTGGTCTAAAGTTAACAAAAATTCTAGAAAAATGGACAAAAAGTTGTAGCAAAATTTTTTTGGGAAAAACTAGAGGTTGAGTTCTGAAAATGATTCATTTTTAGAATCTACATTTTTATAAACTCTACAAGAGAGTATAGAAGTCAAAGTTTAAGTTCATGCAAGTTCATGCAAATTGAATTTGTTTCTGACTTAACGATATGTTCTCTGCATAGTTGATATATGGTTTGTATGTTGTTAATTGACTCATTAATGATTAACAGAGCCCTTGAGTATGATTTTACCACACTTATCTTTTTTTAAAAGAGGTATGAATTATGCACACATCCATTGACAATATTCAAATGTTAGTTTTACAATTAATTAGGTATTTGATAAATGGTAAATAGAACACTAACACGAGTTAAGGCCTGTTTGGGGTCAGGGATGTTGTAAACATCCAAGGCTCAAAGTGGCCGTTAACTACCATTAGCGTCAAAATTGCCATAGTTTAACAAAGTATTATACTATGCATTTGGTGAGTTTTAGGTGTTTTTTTCTGAAGCCCCAATGCAAGCTGCATGTTGTCACAGTGTACTAGTGTTTCGCAACTCTTTGTATAGAAGGACAAGGCGAAAAATTGTAGTTGTATGCAATGTTTTATTAATTCATAGCACATAATGGGGCCAAAATATCTTTTTACGCAGAAATTATTATTCAAGTCTGTGAGGGGGTATAATTCACATCACATATTGGAAGCAGAAAATCTGTTCAGAGGGGGTGGAGATAATTCATATTGGGAGCACTATAACCACACATATTGAGGACATAAAATTAGCATATCCCCATGTGGGGGGACATAATTCAGGCACATATTGGGGGCAGCATATCTGCATGCAAGAGGGTACAATTTATGGCTCATATTGAGGGCCAAACAACTCTTGAGGAAAGGAGGAAGTTAATTTGGGCACAAATCAAGAACAGACTATATTTTTATGATTCTCTCTACTAAAAAAAATCAACAGATCTGGTCTACAGTGTGAAAGACATTTTTGTATACATTTTTAAGAAGAAAATGTTTTAACTCGGGTACAGCAAAAATATTTGCAGAGAAGGTATGGTTTTCATGAATTTAGTCTTGAATCACAAATGCATGTCAACCTGCATTCAACTAGGATGCAACACGTCAAAAAAACATCACATGCTCAACAATTGTGAGCATAGAATGTAAATTTGAACAGATAGGGAGTGCATTATTTTTGTTTATCTCAGGTTCAGATATTTTGCCACCCAATGGGTTAATCATGAAAATGCTTATATTGATTATCTGACATCTTGTTTTCTGTTAAAAAATTTCATTTATTTTATTTGTATATTTGCAAATGTGCATTACAGTGAGCAACAATCCTCTCCACAAGTTGAATGAAACCCAGTCTATTATTAATAATGGGATTTAGGAGACAAGTGATTTACTTCATTGAAAACATATAGCAATGCATATTCCCACTGCGACTAGTGAGCTTTAAATGTTTAGAAACAGTCTAAAGTAGAAACAGTCAACATTTTTTGACTACTTCTTTGTCAATTTTTGCATGATATTTTCACACAGGACATCTGAAGACTTCATAGTGATGAATTAGGTGCTCAAGTTTGATAAAGTTTTGTATAGAATAAAGTCAAGTTATTGTGCACACATTAACAATTATTAACGACGACGACGACAACAACAACTACAACAACGACGACAACAACAACAACAACAACAACGACAACAACAACAACGACGAAACAATAACAACGACGAAACAATAACAACGACGACAACAATAACAACGACAGCGACATCGACGACGACAACTACAACGATGACAGACTTATACCTTTCCCTTCCATATTTGATGATATGGGCAAGGTAAAAAACCACTGACAAGACGAAATGACTTAATAACCAACATTTTCACTGATCACAACATCACACATTGCATCAATAATCTTATATTGATTCAGAGTACAATTTAATCCACTTTGAACATTTACTCAGAATCTCCATTAACCTTATATTAAGTTAAACAAAACATGTTAAGCGTTACACATACAAGTTGTAATATGTCTGTGAAAGTGTGACATGACCTACATTAGCAATTTGGCACCTAATTTTTTTTACAGGTAAAATTTATTTAAAAATTATTTTTTTCTGTTCGTTTCTTACTTCTTTGACGATTTTTTCAAATATAATGCCCCAAATCATATTTTTATCATAAATTTTGACAGGCACTTTCAAATACTAGTACTTAGCCCATACCCTGACAGACAGACAAAAAAAAAATATCCCTGTAATCATTCACGCAGGTTCACCTACGAAGTAGATAGTACACATGTACTAGTAGTTCTTTTCTTGTGCAATTTTCAGTTCACTTTGACTACACCTTTGGTGATCTAAAAGAAACGCAATGGCACTCTGCCGGTTGTCATGGAAATGCAAGAACCCTGTAAAGTACCCTGTGTAGCCGACGAGTCCATTATGTGGAAACCACAACTGGTGATGTAGTGCTGAAGTACAGCAGCTGGCTGCTTGTCACTGCAATTACAGGGTTCAATGGAACAACATTTACAATTGCATTAGATTTACCCTGGTACACCATGTTGTTACTTCAAGAAAAGACATTTACACAATAAAATACTCGATACAGACATTCATGTTGTTGTGTCAATCCTGTCATTGTCAATTACTACACAGTTACTGGAGGTACAAAATTGAAATTTTTGAATTCCATAATTTTTCCCACCAAAATTTTGAATAGCATTTTGAAAATTTTATGTATTATTAATTCCTTTGTTAATTTTGGCCAAAATGAACATAATTTCTTATTGGCTAAAAGTCTTGGTATTTTTATTTTATGAAAGATACATGTACAGACAAAAATTGAAGTTTGCCAAGTTGAAACAGAAGTACAGTCACTTAATCCTACTAAAAAAAAAAAACTCAGCATAAAAATTCAGCAGTGTTTTATTACTCTATAGTAAAGATTATTGTGCATGACAGTATGAAGTCGTTACGCGAATACAGCAAAGTATGCACTAAGGCCATACAGTGATCGTATCAACTTGCACGTAGTATTTTTTGCAGTATTGTCGTGATAACCTTGTATTATTATCTACATAGATAAGGAATCACCAGATTTCTGACTGGTTGCTAGGTAACTAGAAACATAACACATGTTGTTCATTTTTATCTCAAAAGTGGCTCGCAATTTTGAAAGTTTGGAGCAATTTGCATTACCGGATTCGGGTGATAGAAAAATGTGGACCAAAAGATCGCCCGGGCGATGTTTTGGCAGATATTACAAAGCCCATATTGTCTGGAAAAATAATCCTGCGTTGATAAAAATAGTCTCAGAAAATGTTTAGAAAAAATAATGTTTCGCGTTGACCAAATATAATCATGCAAAGTATAAATTCAAAGTGTTTTAATACATTGGTGAGAGGTCGCATTTTGCGTGAACAAGAACATGCACTAAGAAGGGAAAGCAAGCCAAAGTCAAAACGGGGTACATCATAGACATGACACAACACACGCTGCGACAACTGAGTGATCAGCGACATCATTTTGGGACGCAATTGAACTTCAAGTACTTCTTTGCGTAATTTGCTGCGCGACGATGCTGACATCAAGTCATGCGCTGAACTGACGCGTTACCTTAGCAACCTTTTTCTTCCGTGGTCCGCGCGTCGATCTAGTAAAATTTTTATTATATCCGACGGTACTGTAATTACGCAACTTGTATGCAACTCTGTACTGGCTTTGAATATATCAACGTTGTTTACATTAGTTCACTGCTTTTCTGCGTACTTTACCGCTTAACTCTGTGTTTTTTTAATAATCATGTCGCATGTGAAACGCAGGAGACATTTTAGTTTGCCCATTTCTTGTTTACCGATCTTGAACTTTTTGTCTGGAATGCGATACAGACAAAGATTAAACATTACTGATAACAACCAAGAGGCTCGAATCAGGAAGGCTTGGCTATTTTAAACTTCGTAAATAACATTCTTTTCAAGCGTAGACTTTATTCGAGTCTAATAAACGAAGTGAAATTATTTTAACGAGTAATAATACGCAACAACAACAACATTGGTTTTATTGGAGTTTTATGCTTTTCGACTTCACAGTGAATTATTTTTAGCGTCATATTTGAAATAGCGCACTCGATACAAGATGTCGGATAGGAAAATTGGGTCTGTAAAAATGTTTGTAGGTTCAGTCACCAAAACATCCCCACTATTTGAAACATCGCCC